TAGACATGCTTCTTTAATATTCTACACTATACTTGTGCAGTAACTAATGTCAGTTCCCAGTTTGACAAATCATTCATGGATTTCACAGGGAGTTGAGCTCTTACTCAGTGATCAGGAAATAATGTAGTAATGTCAGTTACTTTCTAGCATTGCTTACAGAAAAGTTACTGTGAAATGGCACTGATTTTCTGCAGGTAGGCACGTAAACCTGTCCTACAGCTCTCACAGAAGGAAAAAGGATCATATGCGACATTTCCACATACAGAGTATTAAATCTGGTAGCAGAACGGAATGCAGAAGAAGCAGAAGTGTTAGAAAGTCATGTTTAAAAACAAGGCTTTATCATAGAAGAAAGGACCTATGTTCCAAACCCTGTGATTAATTGCTAATAATGTAAGAAATCTCAGTGAACTACACAAAAAAATCTGAATTACTTGCATGAGTAACTGTTGTAGTCTGGATGAAACATTTTTCAGTCTACAGAGCATTTATGCAATTAAAAAAAAAGTCACAAAGTTAATGCAAAGTGAGTTTTCTAATATCTTTTATGACTTTTCAAAGCTCTTTGAATCAAAGCTTTATGAAAAAGGACCTTCCTCTAAAAATGGTAACTAGATTAACGATTATGTATGTTCTCACTGAAACAGAGTGATGTTTAAACATACAAAATGCATGTAAAATTATAATCCACTATTTGCACTTAAATGATGTAACCAAAACATTTCTAATAGTATTCTATTTTATGTCACAGAATACATTATAAGCATGACCAGTATAATATACACAAAGATAATATATATTGTATGTGGGATTTTAATATCCAGTGATGATTATATTGGATAATCTTAATTTTTAAAGAATGCTATCAAAACATTATGGCACTTTGGTAATGTTATCATACTGGTTTAGTTGTTATAATATATATCAGTTATTCAGGTGTTTTATTGATTATGTTTGCACAGATCTGATGATTATAATTAAAGGACTAATTAATTTGTTTTCTTTATTCTAAATACATTTGTAGTAAGTCAGTTTACTGCTGTTAAAAATTCGTTATATTCACAAAATGGAGTAGATTTTCTGGGTCAGATTTATTTATGGTATTACTCTGTAAAGAAAACTGTTTACCTCCTCTGGTTAATATAGGGTAGTAGGTAAGGTATAGGCTATAGAATGTGCTGACTGCAGTTCCTAATGTGGAGATAAATTTTAGATGTTCTGTTTGTAGGTGACCAACAGGAGGCAGCATAAGATCTATTTTAATTAAAACAGACTGAAAGCAGGGATGTATTTGACAATATTTACAGTTGAACATTATGCTCAATTTACTTTTTTCCTTCAAACACCCAGTAAATAGAGAACAGTAACATTTCGCTGCTGCCTGGGCTCTGCTGATATGTGGAAAGTACGATACTACACATTTGCTGAGATGTTCATTCTTTTGTGAAATAAAGCACTGAGCAACTGAATCCTTCTTGGGTCTTTTTTTTTCCTTTTTTTTCTTTTCTTTTTTTTTTTTTTTTTTTCCAGTGAGTTTTAAACTGCAGACTCTACAGTGTTTCTAATGCAGGTAATCTCTTTTGGGGTTTGTTGGTTTGTTGTTTTTTTTTTTCAGTTGGAGAACATTTTGAATGCCGTAACCAAGAATGCAGTTAGTATGAATGAGGGGGGTTTATAATAATCCTCGGACCTTGTATTTGTATTTCCTTTGCATACTGAATTACTGTTCCCATGCTAATTTTAATTGTCTGCTGAAAAGTACTTAAGTTTACCATTATAAGGTACTTATTTAAATTGGCATCAATTTTAAAAATTAGATCAGATTGATATACAGGGATTTTTTAGCAGTTTAAGTACTGCAAATGACTGGGTGTTTATTGTTACTGAAATGAGCCTTCCGTACTAGCAGAAGGAGCTTTATATAGAAGGAGATAAAAGTTACAGAGTCCAAAATTTGCATGCCAAGGCTTGCAGAAATGGCATCAATGCAAAGTGACGGAGCCCAACGTTGTCCTGTATCCTTCCAAAACTCAAAATTCTGTAACCCCGAGATTCCTCTACAGATTAGAGTTATGGCAATATAAATTAACTTTCAAACACTCTAAGGCCTTTGCCCCAAAAGCCTTTCTGCTAGCAAAAGCCTTTTGGAGACATGTACAAAGCATTCCAGCAGCACTCACAATGTTAAAAGCTTATATTGAACAATGAAGGGATTCACAGACCAAATCTGAGAGCTTAAGTTGTGTAACCCTGTGCACAATCAAAAGGAAACTGTATATGTATGTTCTACAAATCCAGGGAATTCACCATGGACTTAAAAACAGTTTGCATCTGAAGTAGACCATATGGTAGGGATTTTCTTCCTGTCAGCAAAAGCAAGGAAGAAAGAATCTGGATTTAATGATTAAAATACACATACGTTACACATAAATTCAAGACAGTTCATATAAATGAAGGAGGTCCAAGGATTTTTGTTGGAGGAAGCTGGTATACACCAGGATTTTTCACTAATGATCCACAGCCTCCATAAAAGTAGAGTAACAATTCTGGGAGAAAGTAGAGGTATTTAGGTTATGTACACAGCTACTCTAGGAAATAATATGATTTCTAGTTAAAATTATTCTAACAGATACTAATCATATTTAGTGGGTTTGTCCTTCATAATAAAAGAAGGATGTTCAATGAGGTATAATTACGACTAGGTATTTTTGTAGACTAGCAGAGGATCACACAGTTAATGACCTCCCCTTTCCATCATTTCTCCACCTATTTGTACCTGAATCTAGTTTGAACTAGCTTGTAAGACCTTTATGATGTGCTTGAATTTGATTTCTGAGCACCAGAAAATTGCCAGTTAAAATACTGGTAATAATGTAAAGGGAAGCCAAGTTCGGGTATGGGTCTCAGTAAGAAATATCCCAGTATTATATATGTCAGTAGTGTGGCACGGTCTTGCTATGCTACTCCTCACCATTCTCTTTTTTTAACTGGATTTTCAGTACACAGTGGACAAGTATGGCAGCAAAACTATTTACCTGCTAGCAAACTGATAAACGAATAGTTGGCTGGAACCGGAAAATACCATTTTAGGGAGAATTGTAGTTTCATCGCAGTTATGATCCCTTAAAGCTGTATTAATCAAACATCCGCCGGTCCAGTGAAAGAACTTGGATGTAACACAGGAGACAAGGACCAGACACATCTTGTGTGGCGGAGGGGGCGAGGAGCCCAAGCCCGAAAGCTCCAGGAGAGCCTTTTGTGTGTATATTCACCACATCAACGGCGTGCCGCAGCGCTTCCCGAAAACTACTTTTATTTCTTTAATTACAGGATGTGATAGACGTCATTTTTCCGTTTTAATCACAAACTGCGAAGTTGAGGACGAACAGCCGGTTGCCGCGCGCTCGCTCTGGGCAGCAGCTAAATAAACCTGGCGACCACACCGGTAGCTTATGCGCGGTTATCCCGCACGGTTAACCCGCACGGTTAACCCGCACGTTTCGGCTGCTCCTGATTCTCCGTCCCTCCGTCCCTCGCAGACCGCCGCCGAGAGGCACCGAGCCCCGCCCCACCCCGCGCCGCGCCCTCCGGCGAAGCGGCAGCACCACACCCACCCCGCAGAGCGTCCCTCGCTGAGGGGGGCGGGCCGCCACAGCCTGCAGCCAATCACTGACACGCCTGGGGAAGACAAGCGGCGAGTACAGCCAATGGCTGCGCGCGGCGCGGCCCCGCCGGCGGAGGAGTGATGGGGATTCCGGCCCGCCTGGCGCGGCAGGGCGGGGCGGGGGAAGCGGCGGACACCGAGCACCAATAGGCGAGCGGAGAAGAGTGACAGGCAGGCAGCTCGCCCAATGGGAGGGCGGTGGCCGTTAAAGGGCCGGCGGCCCGGAGGGGAGCGCCGGGCGCAGGTGAGTCGTGCGCGCGGCCCCCGGGGACCGGGCGGGGCGGGCAGCGGCACCGGCGCCGGCCCGGGGATGGGGCGGCCGCTCCCCCCGCGGCGTGTGGGCCGCCCCCGCCGCACCCGCGGGGGTACAGCGGTGGGGCTCCGCCGCCCTCGGGCCCTGGGGGTGATGAGGCGATTGCCCACCGTCTTCTCTCCCCACGGGGAGCCCCCGTTCCTATTTCTCCTCCCGGGGGAGTCGCAGGATCCCGCCGGCCGGCGAGGCCGTGGCTTGCAGCGGGCCCCACGGGCCCATCTGCTCCGCGGGCCTCGGGCTGTGCTGGCCGGGCAGCCGGCCGTGCCCCCGCCTCCCTTTGTTGGCGCCTTGTTGCTTTCCGTGCAGCGCCCCGGGTGGGACGGCGCTGAGCCCGACCCGCGGCCGTGCCCGGCCTGGCGCTGCCTGCGCGGGAGGCGCTGGGACCCGGCCTGCTGCTGCCCGGCCTGGCCGTGAACGGCATGGGCAAGGGGAGCTCCGGCCTCATGCGCCTGTGCCTTCAACTGCCTGAATCCCCGGCTGCTTCCCATCTTCCGCTCTTTCTCCCTGCTTCGTTAAGTTATCCTTTTAGGTGCTGTTGGTTCCCTTCTGTGCCTGCTTTTTCGTCTGTGTAAACCGCGGGCTTCTTGCAGGGCTGTGTTGGGTGATGTGGTGTGCAGGGCCCAGACCCTCCTGTACTAAAAACCTTTGTACAAAAGCATAAATTGCTCCAAGCCGATGTAGCCATCTGTTAGGAATCACAAAAAAGTTTTCTAGAAAGCCTTAGGCAGAAGATACTCAAGACCCTAAATTTGTTGAAGAAAACTTAGAGATTGTAGGTCCTTGTAATTTAAATGTTGTTGGTTTTTTTTGGTTTTTTTTTATTCAAGCATAAGCCGTAAAAGTTTTTTTTCAATAAAATCAAGACACCATCTTTTGTAAAAAGTAATGATTTTTGTAAAATTCGAGTTTGGTGCTAGCAACAGGCTTCCACTCCTGGTGAATGCATGGATCTTTTTGTTAGCTTCATTGTTTGTTTGGTGCATTTGCTATTTTTTTTTTTTTGGTTTTTTTTTGTTGGTCCAACATGTGGTCAGACAATAAAGTGTGAACAAAGGAGACAGAAAAGATAGAGGCAGAATGAGGATGCTTCTGTCTTTAACTATGCCAAAGGTATTCAGTATATGCATATTCTGTCTGTTTATCGAGTGTCCAGCTTAGTTTTACAATACTTGTTTCTTTCCAACCCCAACAGTTTGTTTTTCTTTTGTGAAGTGATGACACCCTTCTTGATGACAGGTTGCTTTTGGCCTGACAGGCCCAAAATCAGAGCTCCACGTTGCCATCATTTCTGGAAGACCTTGAAGACATTTATGACGTCATCAGAATTGGTTTTTTTTTAGCCAGCGCTTCACGTTCCTACCCAAACTGTCAAAGTATGCATTTTGCACTGCAGTTCTCCCCAGCTTCTTGTGCACCTCCTCACTGGCAGAGCGCAGGAAACTGAAAAGTCCTTGGTTTAAAGTAAGCACTGCTTAAGCACAGCCAACACATTGGTGTGTTGCCAATATGAGTGGCACACTAATCCAAAACACAGCATCGTCCCAGCTACTAGGGTGAGCATTAATGCTGTCCCAGCTGCTGAGGTTGGGAATATTAGGTTTTTTCCTGTAGCTATCTAGAAGGTGTACAAATCCTAGCATATTTACATTCCCGTCTCTTAGGTACTTTGAGTATGTAATGGCTCATTTTTCCTCATTAAAGAGTAATATCCTGGAGACCATCTGGCAATGTTAAGAACTGACTATCCCAAACCTCAGCTTTTGTTAGATAATAATGTTTTTTAATTAATATATCAGATAGGTACACAGAGCCATCTTTGGGAGTAAATATACTGTTAAGACAATTCACTAACTCCATTTATATTAATTAGAAATGCTTTGTTAAGGACAATTCCATGTGCTTTCAAAAAGGAAAGAGTTAAAGAGGCAGGATGTCCTTACCAATTGGAAGTTGATAGTCATGAGCTTGAAAATATATAGGTTTTGCTGATGTTTCACTGGGAAAGTTTGGCTTGTATCAGATGTGTTCTAGCAAAAGTTTTAAATAAAGTCTAAAAGAACACTTCACCTAGTAAAGGAATTGGATGCCAATAGTTTCCAAGTTAGTATTGCAGTTCTTAAAGGTTATGTCCTTGGCTTATGGCATAAAATCCAAAACTGAGATTAGACACCTAACAAAGCGTGGCTGGGGAGATGAGTCAGGTGATCCTGAGCACCTGACTCATGAGCAGGGCGCTGGTGCAAGGAGCACTGAGCCGGCCCAGAGGGTAGCTTGACATTTGCATGCTTTAACTCTCAGCCCTCTCCAGAGCTAAGGAGAAAGCTTACCTGTCAGCATTTTCCTTGTTGATGTAGAATTGTATTTGGAATCCTGTTTATGTTTTGTTTTGTTTTTCTGTGTTTGTTGGCTATGAAAGAAAACACAGATGTGGAAAGCTGCAAGTGAGCCGCTTATTTACAGTCAGTAGTATATCGGAGATGAAGAACAATGTCTAAACTACTAGACCTTGTTCCCCAAGTGGGGAGTTGTAGTGCAGTGTGCTGACGTGTATGCTTTAACCAAGTTTAGGGAGAACAATAGGAGGAAAAATACTTAGTAATTTAAGAATCCTGTATAGCTGGGAGGGGGTTATTTAAGAATTAAGTCCATTAGTTAGTAACAATTGAATCTATAATCTGGAAGCCATTTCCCTTCAGGTGAACCAATATCTCTACTGCATGAACAGTGAACAAACAGCAGCTTGAAGCTGCCTGTAGTGTACAGTGAATCCCTGGCCCACTTGACTTAAAGCCTTTTAAGCCTGCCTGCAGTGGTAGGTAACATGGTACAAAAGACTGTTCAAAATAATCCTAAATTGAACCAATTGCCAAGCAGTCTGTGATGAAGAACCATTTTTGAGTCTTAGTCTTTGCTTCCAGGATTTGGTGGATTGTTTTGGTTTTTTTTTGGTAATATGATCTGTTATTAATGTAGTAATGATAGTCATTGCTGTGTTAAAAATCCCCTCACTCTCCACTTCTCTGCAGAGTTGCACACAGTCTGTCAGGTGAATTATGGAGATTCATGTTCTCTTCAGCATCAGGCGTGGGACCAGCTGGTGCTGAGGGGAGAGCACTGGATGAGCTGTAAAGCTGCCATGGTATCTGACATGAGATGTTCAGCAGCCTGAGAAGGACATGGAGGGTTTTACCATGGGCATATCATGACTTAAATCTATTTTCTGTTAAAATGTCTCTAATGAATGACATTTGTTTGAACTAGTTATTTTATGACATTCAACGGGATTGCTCCAGTTCTTTTATTTATGATTATGTTAAATTAAAAGAGCCTCAAAAATGTCAACTTTTCTTATTAATTTACTTTTTTTAAAATGAAAATGGCATCTTATTTTAAATGTGTCTCAGAAATTTCAGTCCCCTAAACATTTCATGGTTTTGAAGTAACTTCTTTTGTAAATAGTTGAGCATTCAAACTGAAATATGTGTGTCAAATTTCAATCTTAACTGACTGACAAAACTCTTAAAAGCTGAAGTAAAATATTTGTACTTCTGTAATGGAAATACCAAATCAACCTTAACAGTTTGTGACATGGATATATTAATATATCCATTGTTTTATAATTTATTGGAGATGAGAGGAAGTATCTATGACTGCTTTGTATTGAAAGTTTAACAAAATGGTTTTCCTTTATCAAATAAACAGTTATTTCAAAATACGCATTCCTTAAATGATGACTTAGGAGTCAAGTTGTTAAATGAAAATATCTGGTGTATACCTTGGAGATTTATCTTGTTTGCTCTTTTTCTCTTAGGAAGCCTGACAAATAGAAAAATACAACAAAGTGAAGAGAAAATTTACTTCATGAGAACTGAGCTCTGCTTTCATTTGCTTTTAAATTTATTTGTATTAGTAGCTGATTAGTGTCAGATCATCTCTGTAGTCTGCTGTGGTGAAATTACTAGGTTAAGTCTGGAAAAAATGAAACAGTTAAAAAGAAAAAGAAAAAGCAATTTTAGTGTTCAGGAAACTCAAACTCTCCTTAAGGAAATCAGAAAAAGGAGAGAAGTACTCTTTTCGAAGCAACTTAATACAACAATTAATGAGATGAAACGGAAAGCTTGGGAGGAAATAGCAGAGTGTGTGAATGCTGTAGGTGAAGGAGAGCAGAGAACAGGGACAGAAGTGAAAAGGCGATACCTTGACTGGAGAGCACTCATGAAGAGAAAACGTCTGAATGCAAACATCAAAGTAGTAGGTGCTGGGTTTCATCTTCCTTCATCCAATTTAGATGACTCTCTCAATGAAGACATGGATGAGAAAATGGGATTTGCAATTGAATCTAGTTTTGAGTGGCAAAATATCACTGACTTCAGAGAAGCTGGTGGATCTTTAACAGAAATCAAAGTAGAAGAGGAAGAGGAAGACCCACAGAATTTTGAAGTGAGTGACTGATATACATGAGCTGTATGCAATATGGCCTTTGCTTCATTTCAGCATAAGGCTTTTTACTGTGTTGCTTCATAGCATCTGTTTCTGTTTAGTTCTGAATGTGTGAATTAAACTGTAGAAATAAATATAATTCCGAGACATGATATTCAAATCCAGCAACTTGGAATTGTCTGTAAGGTCTTAGATGTTGATTACTGATTTGATATCCCTAAACTTTGAGTATGTCTTTGTACGTGTATTTTCCATTTGTGTGTGACACAGAGAAGAATTAGTTGAGTCAATGCAAGGAAAATGCGCTGTTGAAGGAAACTGGTCATTTTAGTATTCAGAGTACCTGGGTAGGTGAACGGAGAAGTGCTTATCTTTAACAAATGAAAGTAAATGTTACCTGCAGGTACAAAAAGGAATAGATTGCAGAAAGAAATATGATACAGAAAGAAATATGGTACTGCTTGCATTTCTTGAAATGAACCTAATGGAGATGAAAACATTACTTGAATTAGTCAGTCGGCCTTTTCTCTCTGTCAGAATTTTCTTGTGAATTTGGCAAGCAGTAGTGGATTCTATAGACAAGTTGATACTTGTAGTAGTACTGTGACTGTCCTGGGATAGGCAGCCAGCTGGAGTGCAGTCAAATGTTGGGATAGTTTTGCTGTTCTCTTTAAACACATAGTTCTTTTTTCCAAAAGGGGTACTGAAACAATTTTGTGTGGGGTATTTTATTGCTTTCTGGTTTTTTTGGGGGGGGGGGGTTTTTTTTTTTTTTTTTTTTTTTTGTTTTTTTTGTTGTTTTTTTTGTTTTTTTTTTTTTGTTTTTTTTGGGGTTTTTTTTGTGTTTTTGTTTTTGTTTTTGGTTTTTTTTAGTGGAAGGAGTAGGGAGGCAACTCCTGTCTTAACTCCGTTGATATGTATGCTGGGAGCAAACCAGTGTAAGCTGTTAGATGGTAGTGAGAACTGCTGTCAGACAGTGCTGAAGAGCAGTGTGTGTCTTCTCTAATGCTAGGGAACTGGCAGTGGCTCTCCTAGTCCTAAGGTTTTTCTGAACGCTTGCCTTCCTCAGTTTGCCTTTCTCTTGCAGCTTACATATTGGGAGACTAAATAAGAATAAATAAATTTATTTCTTTTGTACTATGAATTTGTAAGGGCTGTGATACTACATAAAATGTTACAGTCTGCTGAGAGCAGTGGTCCTAACCACCTCATCATGTGTCACAAATAGCTTTACAGCAAATGTGATAATAAAAAATGGTTAAACAAGTCCTGCTTGTTGACCCACTTAATAGAGTTGGAAGAGTTAGGAACGTGTGAAAAATGTCAGTGTTAAATGTTTTTTAGGAATGGAATAGCCTGAGTTTTTGAAGGTTAGGCTAGCTTACATAACACGTACCCTATGGATCCATCTGCTCTGATAAATAATTAGTCACAACAAATGCCTGGTGGCTTACATAAATGTCACTCAGCTCTATGAAAGGTAAGAACAACATATGGTCTTCTAGATCCAGTTTTTTATCAGTTGTTCTAAATTATCTGTAATAACTGCTGTATTTTCTGGATGTTTTTGTATGTGTACTGACAAGATTTTCTTTTTTTTCATTACCAGATATTAACTTGCAGATAAAGCCTGTTTCTCTTCCTGTATAATGATAAAAAAAAAAAATCTTCTGACATAGCATGGTTATTTCACAACATATACATTAAACACTTCTGAATTGCTTTAAAGATGATGAAAAAAGTGCAGTATGTTCTTTTCAGTCAAGTTGTATGTAACAAATTTGTTCTGGCCTAAAGACTGGAATGTAAGTCTTGTCTGTCGCATTCCTCTCTGCAGTTTCCTATTGAGGAAGAAGAAGAAATATTGTCATCAGTTCTGCCAGATTCAAAAAAGGAAAATGACCTACCAGACTTCCCCCACATTGAAGAGTTTGGAAATCTGAGCTCTGCTCAAGCTAGGCTAGCCTATGAAGATTCTCACTTGCTTATAAATCTGGAGAAGCAAAAGGTGGAGCTGGAGAAACAGCGACTGGACATCGAAGCCGAAAGGTTGCAAGTGGAGAAGGAGCGCCTGCAGATTGAGAAGGAGCGGTTGCGGCACGTTGACTTGGAGCGTGAGCGGCTTCAGATTGAGAAGGAGCGACTTCAGCTAGAGTGGGAGAAACTCAGGCTAGAGACTCTGCATGCTGAAAAACCCGCCCTGGAAAATGACCTCACCCAAACTGAAAAACCCATCATGCAGCCTCTGGATCTAGAAACTGAAAAGTTAAAACTTGAAAAAGAACGTTTGCAATTAGAGAAAGAGAGGCTGCAGTTCCTAAAGTTTGAGTCAGAAAAGCTGCAGATTGAGAAGGAGCGCTTGCAAGTGGAGAAGGAGCGCCTTCGAATTCAGAGAGAGGGTCACTTGCAGTGAACATCTCAGCTAAGGTGTCAACATTAGTGTTTTGATGTTTCTAAATTAGAAGTAGTTCTTTCCTTGATACTGAAACTGTCCTAGAGGCTTAACATTCTTCTGTTCAGAGTTGAATGTTGATGTTAAACTGAAAAAAAAAATGGTGCTCAATATGTCAGTGTGCCTACATAAATGATCTTATGTGTGAAGTTGCTTTTCAATGTATCAGAACTTAGTGTTATGTTCTCTTGTCTTCAGTATTGTGCAGTATTAGTTTGGTGTCCTCCCCTCATAGAGGCCTTGAGAAGAGTCCAGGCTGAACCTTGTACTTTTTGTCACTGTACTAACAGGAAGGAAGGATCAGAATAAATCATCGTTTGCTGTGAGGACATAGTGCTGACGATAGTCTATATGGTAAAGGAGTACAATTTCAGCAGAACACAGGAATACAGAGTCATTATGAGAGCGATTCATTAAATTTTATTCCCTCCCCCTCTTTCTTTTCTCCATCCCCATAATTGGGAAAAACAGTTGAAGAGTTATCTAGAAGTTAAAGTGCAAGTTAAATTCATTGCAGTTGTGTTTACTGTTGTTCCATGGCTTGAAATGAATGGGAGTGCAGAAAATAGGTTTGAGTTTTTATGGTGGTTTTTTTTTTTGTGACATTCATATTAGGCAAAGTTACACATCAGCCATACATACTATGAGCTGGCCTGTTGGTTTCACTAGGCCATTAATAATGCTGTATGGAGTAGAGCACCTGTGTTAGCATAGGACAGGGATTTACTGATTGATCAGGCATGCTGTCTAATGAGTCTGATGACCCCCTGAAGGAAATTGCTAGACCTTGTTTGTCCTTGGAAAGCAGTAGCTGGTGATAGGAATCTCAGAAATGGAGACTGAGCACAACCCAAGAACCTCTGAGTTTGAACGCTTCTACACTCACTGCTGGTTCTGCCTGGCCAGCACCAAGATCTGGCTGCAAGGCAGCCAGAAGACACTTCTGTGGCTCTCTGTATAATATATTTTAATTAAACAAACAGAAATGGTTAGTGCTGAAGGCTGTTAGTATTTTTCATAGGCAATGTAGTCATATAACAAAAAGCAAAAAAAAAAAAAAAGCCAAGGAAGGAAACTTTCTATTATTTCATATGTGTTTAAATCCCAACTGAGCCAGACTTCACCTCTCTCATCTTTCTGCAAGTAACTGTCTTGTTAACTCCATTGGAAATGTAGAACTGTGGGAAAAATAAGTCTAAACATATGTTGAGTGACTTAGGTGAATTTGTGTGCAAGTAAATAATATTTATACCACTACAGGTTTACTTTTATTCTGCAAAGATTATTTTTTTATTACTGAAACAGGCGTGCTTCTACAGTGGAAATAAATTTGACTACTACACTCCAAAATGGCTCTTGAGGCTTTCTTCACAGAGAAACTAGGCTACATCTGAAGAGAAGCCTGGGTACTGGACACTGCAGCACACCCAAGTTGCTGGTACCTGTATTCCCTGTGTAGTCAGTCAGAAAGATGAGGCACCTCAGAGCTGGACTTAAATCACCTGGGACTTATTTGAGAAAGGAAAAAGGAAGGAGATACCAACCAGCTAGATAAAAATGCCCTGGAGAAAGTTTCCCTGAGCTTTTTCTTCCTAAGTGTTGTGGGCTGACCTCAGTGGGATGCCAGGTGCACACCAATATTGCTCCATCACTCTTTAGCTGGACAGGGGAGAGACATCTAACAGAAGGTTCAGGGGTGGAGATAAGAACAGGGAGAGATCACTCAGCAATTACAATCACGGGCAAAACTGGCGTGACTTGGGGAAATTAGTTTGCTATCAATCAGTTAAGAGTAGAGTAATGAGAAATAAAACCAAATGTTTAACCACCTTTCCCACAGCATTCCCTTCTTCCCAGGCTTAACTTCACTCCTGACTTTCTCTGCCTCTCCCTGCAAGGGGTGCTGGAGGATGGGGAATGGAGACTGTGCTCACTCCAGCACATGCTGTCTCTTCCCCTCCTCCCTCAAGGGGAGGACTCCTCACATGTCCCCTGCTCCAGCGTGGGGTTCTTCCCATAGGAGACAGTCCTCCATGAATTTTTGTAACAGGCAGCAGTTCTTAATGAAGTGTTCTGATGTGGTTCCTACAGGGTGCAGTCCTTGAGGAACAGGCTGCTCCAACGTGGGTCCCCTGTGGAGTCTCAAGTCCTGCCAGCAAACCTGCTCCAGTGCGAGTTCCTCTCTCCACAGTCCTGCTGGGAGCCTGCTCCAGTGCAGGCTTCTCCCAGGGTCTCAGCCTCCTTCAGATGTTTCCACATGCTCCAGTGTGGGCTCCTCCACGGGCTGCAGGTACATCTGTGCTCCCCCGTGGGCTGCTGGAGCACAGCTGCCTTGCCATGGTCTGCACCATGGGCTGCAGGAGAACCTCAGCTCCAGCACCTCTGGCACCTCCTGCCCCTCCTTGTGCACTGACCTTGGTGTCTGGGGCTTTTTTGTCATTCTTCTCTGTCTGCATTTGACTCCGTGCATTTTCCCCTTGTTAAATAAATTTTCTCCGTGTCACTAGCACCTTCACTAGTGGACTTGGCCATAGCCAGGGGCAGGTCCATTTTGGAGACCCCAGGGATTGGCTCTGTTGGACATGTGGACAACTTCTGACAGCTTCTCTCAGAAACCACCCCCATAGCCCCTCCTGCTACCAAGACATTACATCACAAATCCAATACACCAAAATAAAGGGACAAATTGGCAGCTTCCTGGTATGCATCGTGCAAATTGATATTAAAGTAACTTTCTGTGATTTGAAGAAAATCTTTTCCTTTTAAAGCAGGAAAGAGGCAGAATTCACAGTTAGTCAGGTGTCTAGTGCATAGAACATTGACCAAGAGAGTGGGATAGCATGGATTTTATGACTGTGTGCCCTGAGGTGACCAACTTTCTAGATCACTATTCTGACTGACAAAGAAGGTCAGAGTAGTAATGAGGGGCAACATCACCAGCTCTGCAAGAGGTAGTGACCAGAAGGACCAAACCAAGAGAGAGAGAGAGAACATTCCTACAGTCTTATCTGGAAGACATGTCTTGCCAGGAAGGAGCAGATGTGGATTCTGGCTCCTGTTTTGACAGGTAGTTGAGCTGCTGCTTGATCCTAGCATCTCTGTCTTCATTAATTACTCCATTTATCCATTAGGATAATGATTTGTATTTTACATTTAATGTCTTCAGAATTGTACCCCAAGAGCATTAAAGGTTTTAGGGAAAAATAGGTAGATAAATCTGAACCATCTCTGAATTCTTAATTGTTTCAGAAAGTTGAACACTTTTCCAAATGTTAATAGAGCTGTATTTAAGCAATTACTTTTCCTAACAACTGTTCAGCCTCCTAGGGAAATGATGCATCTTTTAGTTATAGAAAACATCTTGGAAAATACTGAATGATGAAATTAAGTATTGAGATAAATAATTGAAAATACAGTTTCAATATAAAATTTAGAGAAAATTACAGAGTTTAATACATCTATTTCATATCTTGCTTTTTTCAAAATGAAAATGCAGTCATTTTGTGATAATTTGAATTAAAATGTCATATATTTAAATACTAATCTGCAATCCCTTAGACTTTAATTGCTTGATTTACCAACCTGTGATCCTGAGGTTAAGGATCCTGTGATCGTTGAAGCCTAAGGTCAAGATTTTGACCCTGTAAATGTCACCCAAGGTAGGACATACACATAAACTTACTGTTCTACCAACATTGATCATGGGGTAAAGGCTGTAAATGCAGTCCCCAAGGAGAGCCCAGGATGAACCGCGTCCCAACAGGACACAGCTAACAAAGCACACTAGGATTCAAAGACAACTTCCTTTCCTTGAGTCAGTGGTCTTATGTTATTTCTAGGACATTTTGAGCTACTTTCATTGTGCACAGAGGTGCTGCAACGTACACAAGGTATAAAATATTTGTTTATTAAGATAAAAAATAGATGGTTAGGATTTTATAAGCATTTGTATCCTTATCACCTCGAGGTATTTTTACTAGCCAGGGAATTATCAGCCAGGAGAGGAGGAGTTTCTAAAAACTGCCTTGCAAGTGGGAACAGAAGTCTGTAATCTATATTTCTTCACCTTTTCACAGAACTGTTCATGCAGTTGCCACAAAAGAGCATCAGTGATGAGTATCCTCTCTGGCTCATTCGCCCCAAAAGCTCCCTGCAGAAAGGCATGGAGTGCTCCAAGGAGATGGAGTCAGACCTAGGGCTGATATTTTACAAACACAAAAATACCCTCAAAAATCCTACTCTCTGTCAGTCAGGAGCCTTGACAGAAGTGATAGGTGGGAGAAGAGGGAGGAGGAAAGACTAATTTTTCTCTGTTGTTGCTGAAATTAATTAGTGAATTTAAGCCAGACTGTGTCAGAAAATGTCACCACATGCAATAGTATTCATGTTTTTTCTTTCTCTTTTCTCTTTTTCCTTTTTCTTTTCCTTTTTCTTTTCCTTTTTACTCTTTTCTTTCTCTTTTTAATTTTCTTTTCTTTGTATCGCTATCAAGTCTGAATACCTGCATCACTCAGACACCATTGAAGTTTGCAGTTAACATTAAGATGAAATATAAGTAGGTTGGATTATTCTGTAGGATAATGGGTTTGTTTTGCATCAGAAAACCAGAATGGGCCTCAGAATGTTTGTAGATGCTCTTAGGACTATGGAAAGATTTTAATCCAAGTTAAAAAAAAAAAAAAAAAGACAGAAGAAGAGAAAAATTATTGCATGTTTAAAATAAATTCCCATCTGTTTTTATTGTTTCCAGATAATCAATTTATTTGAAGATGCACACTTCAAGGAAGTATGAGGAACGAAGAATGCCTTTAGCATGGGCTTGGGGCAACTTGTAGTACTTCATCTTTTCCCTTTTTTTTTTTTTTTTTTTTTTTTTTTTTTTTTTTTTTTTTTTTTTTTTTTTTTTTTTTTTTTTTTTTTTTTTTTGTTTTTTTTTTTTGTTTGTTTGTTTTGGTTTTTGATTTTTGTTGCCAATTTTTACCAAACCCATGGTTTCCAAAGCACTAGCTATGCCACTTGTGCTCTTGGCTTGGTGCCCCAGGTGACCTAGCAGTGACACAGTGATCAGCCTTTTGCCACTCAGGCAGCATCAGATGGGAGTCAGGGAGGGAGCTCTGGACAATGGGAGCTCTTGCCCACACCTCATTGGGTTTTTCTCTCTAGTCTCTTAAAGCAAAATCTCCTGATGCCAGGTCTCATGATGCCAATGAATGCAAGAGTTCTCAGCCATCACAAAACATGCTAGGAAAAAAAAATAGATCTGCTGACAGAAGACCAGAAGAAGTCCTTTTCAGATACTGTGTATAATCCTTGTAAACTTGACCTGCTTTAGAGGACACTTCCATCCTCTCCTTTTACAGATTATTAAGAATGCCATTGTTATTTTCTGTTCCAGTTTTATTGGTTTTAATTTCCCTGCTTCACTCTATCAGTAGTTTTATTCTATACATTAGTAGACTGTGAAATACCTTGTCTTGTTACTTCGATACTTTCTAATTGCAACACTCCATCATTAGTCAACGGGTTCATAATGTGGAAGGCAAAGTTGCTATTTCATTTCATGCCATATAATACAATGCTTTTGGTTCAGTAATTACATTGTGCCAGACTTGTGATCAATCCTGAGATAGCTCACTTGTGATGGATAGCCCCATCACAGAGCGTATAGGAGTTAAAGGAAGAAGCAAATTTTTAATTTTGCTCCTCTGCCAATTTAGCTACTTGAATATTTCTTTGTAGACCAATATTTATCTCACTGTAGAGATTACAGAAATGAGAACTTAAAAGAGAGAATTGAAGTTTGAAAAGCGTTTTGTAAAGTTTTGATTTGCAAACCAGGAAAGATAAAAATTAAATGTTCTTCCACAGAAAGCTATTGTGTGTGTTATTCTGTTAATGGATTGCCAATCTTCTAGTCACCTGTTTAATGTACTGGAGAAAATCATTACCTGCTTCTTATAACTATTCTAAGGGTTATGTGAAATGAGCTCATCATCTTACTATTACTATTGCTCACTGCTAGGCCTGTGTAAAAAAGATTTCCAAAGGTTTTTTTCTCTGTCATAGAGGCGTTTGTGAGTCAAACACTTTTCTGAAGTGCTGGAAATGTTCAAACAGTCATAGGATATAGGGAGTGCCTTTTCCTAACAAGGAAAGAGTTGCAAGTATGGGGTGCAAGAGTGTAGCATGGGTTGTAGGGACAGCCAGGACAGCCATACCAGTGCAGTAAGGGTGGAGAGAGTTGTGGCCTTTAGGGACAAATGACATCCTAGTGCCCTGAGGTTACAGCAGAGGAAAGCCTGATCCTAGCAGGGAATGTTTACACTTTTCTGGAAAGGACCTGCTAGGAG